AAATGTGGCTGGGACGACTGAGGACCTGAATTTTGAATTTTAATTAACTGAAACTGATACTGAAACCCACTTCTGATTCCAGGAAAATAGAGTTGACATACTTCCTCCCACTAAGTACAACTGAAACTCCTGGACGTTATATATAAAACAAACAAAAGACACTGAAAGGTGGAGAAGAGGCAGAGCAGCTGGGGACCTCAGTGCCCAAGGAATGACACAGTGGCGAGTTTTCTGGGTTTTCTTTTTGCCTCATATTCTACACTTGGAGTTGAAGAAACTGGTAACACAAAAATGCCAACAAGCACAGACAAAAAGAGTCCCCACAAAAGCCAGCTCTCTCTAGCCAAAGAAGGAGGAAAGGGTAGGCTAGCAAGACAGCTTCTATACAATAACTGCTCTACTCTAGTCAATCACCACAGAAAAACCGTGGAACCACCCCTACCCACGGCAGCAAAGGCAGAATGGGGAGCCCATAATCCCACAATAAGGCTGCAATGAGGCTCCTCAACATTCCTGCTGGGATGATTTCAGAGAACTCTAAGTAGGAAGCTGGGATTTTCATCGCCATTGGCTGCTAACGCCTTTCCCAACTTTGCAGTCTATCTGGAAGACTTGGGGAACCTGGCAGTAAGGAGGCATCTCTCTCCCTCACCGGCTAGGGTGGTGTCAGACGAGGCCTAGTGCAGAGCCAGAACTGCCCAGTGATAATGAGGCCACTCCCATATGATGTCAGTGGACACAACATGGAGAGCAGGTACTTCCACCCCTGCTCGGCAGTAACAAGGAGACTTCCCCAACCCTGAGTGTCAAGAGAGGCAGAGTGGGGACTTCTACCTTCACCAGACAATAATGAGGCAGTATGGCCCTCTTTCCTCGCCAGAGCAATGTCAATGGAAGCCAGCTAGAACAAAATATCCAAAGTCTCAGAACATTATACAAAAATGTCTAGGTTTCGATTGAGTATCACTTATCACACCAAGAACCAGAAAGATCTAAATATATACACATTACTAGATGACAACACTGAGATGACAGAGATATTAGACTTACCTAAGATTTTAAATCAGCTATAACAAACGCTTCAAAGAGCAATTACAAACACTCTTAATGAAAAGATAGTCTCAGCAAAGAAAGAAGATAAAAGAATCAAATTGAAGTTTTTGAACTAAAAACTACAGTAACTGAAATCAAAAGATCAGTGGATGGACCCAAGAGCAGAATGGACGGGACAGAGGAAAGAATTTGTGAACTGAAGATAGAACCACAGCAACTACCCAACCTAAAAAGCAGAGAGAAAACTGGGGCAGAGCGGCTGGAAAGTGAGCAGAGCCTCAGGGATTATAACGAAGGATGGAATATCTGTATCACTGGAGTCCTGGAAGGAGAGAAGGAGGGCAGGGATAAAAAGCACTCAACGAAATAATGGCTGAAAATGTCTGAAATTTGGCAAGAGAAACAAACCTACATATTCAAGAAGCTGAGTGAACCACAAAGAGGGTAAACTCAAAGAAATCCAAGCCAAGATATATCATAATTAAACTTCTGAAAAGCAATCAAAGAAAAAAACCTTGAAAACAGCCAGAGAAAAACAACATGTTATGTATAGGGGGAAATAATTAGAACAACAGATTCTCATCAGAGACCATGGAGGCTGGAAGTGGCACAATATTTCTCAAGTGCTGAAATTAAAGAACTATCAACCCAGAATCCAACACCCAAAATAGGATTATACTCCAAGTAGACAAACCTAAAATATCCTTCAGGAAAAAAGAGGAAATGAAGACATTCTCAGATGAAGGAAACCTAAGAGAATTTGTCGCCAGTTGACCCACCCTGAAAGAATGGCTAAAGGATGTTTTCTGAAAGGAAAGGAAAAGATAAAAGAAAAAACCAAGAACATAGGGAAGAAAATACGGTAAGCAAAACTATCAGTAAGTACAATAGGCTTTCCTTCTCCTCTTGAGTTTTCTAAAGAATGTTTGATGGTTGAAACAAAAATTCTAACACTATCTGAGGTGAGCCGTGTATGGGAGGAAGACAATTCCTGTACCCTCTCTAGGTCCTTCTGGCCAGGCTACAAATTGACGTGAGACAGAATAACAGGAGAAAATCAAACAAAGCTTTATAACACATACATGGGAGACACTAAGGAAAACTGAGCAACTCACCAAAATGGCCAAGCTGCCAGCCTAAATATCTTTAGCTAAAGACAAAGGAGGATGCTGGGGGTGGGGGTAGTCAGTTACGGGAGATTACCAGAAAAGCACAGTAAATAAGAATAAGGTTAGTTATGCAGATTTAGGTCCTTGCTTTCTGCATTGAGTTTCTAGAGATAAGGTCATCCCCTTCTTCTTGGTACAGGGGGGCACCTTTACAGATGGAGAGTTCCCTTACAAATGTAAATGTCTCTTACAAAGGGTAACTTCTACTTGGTTTTCAGAGCTTTCCCCATGTCTGCAGTTTTTAAAAGTAACCAGCCCAAAATAATCGTAATGCCAAAGAGGCACATTTTGGGGTGGTCAATTCTGATCGCCCACAGTTGCAAAAGAAATACAATGTCACCACTCAGGCTAGTTTTCTCTTTTTAACAGTAGGCCATAAGTATTTCATCCCTGTGTCCAATAACAGTAAAATTTTCCTTCCCTTCTACAGTGGATAAGCACATTTTGTCCACTAAGTTTAAGCTACCACTTTTGGAAATAGAAAACGCTCTTGTTAAGGAAAACGTTCTTTACTAACAGAAAAGGATGTAATGGTTAATAATGCCAGCATAGAACCACTTACAATTACGCAGAGTACTACTTACAATTATGCACTTAACAGCAAAGATCTTTTTCATTATGTTGAATTTTGCCAGTGGAAATAAAATATTAGTGAAGTGCTGGGGCTTTAAACTTGTTTTATAAGTCAAATCTGGAGAAAAGTAGGATGAATCTGATAAACTCCATTTCAAAAATTTGCAACTGAACAATAGTTCAGACCCTGGAGGTTCAGAGGAAGCCTGCCACGCTGGTTAATATTTTTCTCTTTGTGATTTGAATTTAGATTTATCAAGGGACACGTAACATCTAAGTGTGAAGAAGGAAATTTGGAAGGAATGTGATATTTGTTTCCTCAACAGACTCCAATCAAACCCAACAAAGCCCCCAGAAACGTTGAAGCCAGGCCTGGCCGAGCCCTTGCAATGCTCTGAGCAGAGAATTCACCTTCGATGGAATCTGGCAAAAACACTGGAGAAATCTGTTCTCAGTAATCTGTTAACTGGCCACTAGCCCAGGTAAACAATTCACTTTAGCTGAGCAAGAAGAGAAGATGAAGAGCGAGAAGGGAATGGAAATCTTTTGGGATTCTCTGAGGAAGGCCTTAGGCACCAACACTCAAGTGCTGCGTAGTATTAGGATCATTACTTCTTAAGGATATTCAAATGGATATTAAGTGTACACAAAGATGCTCAACTTCTTTCAAAATAAGAGGAATGTCAAGTAAAAGTACAGCAAAATATCTTTTTTTGTTTTTACCTAGTCAGTGGGTAAAGACAAAAAGGTTGATGACATTGTGTGGTTAGCAAGGCTCTAAGTAAGCACTGCCATGTATTTCTTTCGGGAGTATATATTGGCACAATACCTGTTGTCAGATCTAAGATTTGATTTTACACTACTAAACAAGCTAATGATTTAGCCTCTTTCATGGATCCTGGAATAAGACAAAAGACTCTTGGATCAGAGACAAGGGATTTTATCACTCATGGCACATTAAGCAGCATGAGCATCAGCATGTTTGTACAATTCTCCTTGCCCCCATGTCTCACAGGAGAAGCATAGGAGACCCAAACAGATTCTGCTTGGGTACCCTGAGCTTGAGGAACCTGCCCCTTTTACAGCAGGCAGTAAGCAAGTTTGTCCTGAAGGGAGATACTACCTCGCCCCTTAAGACTGCTCACTGCAAACCTGATCCTGAGAAACGGCCCAGCAAGGTGTGAGGAGGCCATGGAGGAGTTTCTCCCAAGATCTCTGCGGGGCAATCTAGCAGCAAAACTTTCCAAATACATTTAACTTTTGACCTAGCAATTCCACCTCTAGGCATCTATCCTACATATTGACTTGTACTTGTACAAAATGATGGCTATAAGAGGTTATTTATTGCAATATTATTTATAATATAAAAAGATCAGAAACAATCAAAATTTGCATCAATATGGGACTGGTTTGCTTATAATATACCCTCATGATGGAATACTATGCAGTAATTATAAAGGATGAAGAATTTCTCTATGTGCTGGTATAGATTGCCAAGTGAAGAAAACAGATGTAGAAAAATATGTGTAATTCTCCCATTTGTGTAAAAGAGGCAGAAAAGCATACATATTTCCTTGTGCTGAGTATGCATAAAGCTTCATTTCCCTAACGATACACAAAAAACTAATATCACTTATTGTCTGTGGGGAGGTGAACTGAATGACTGAAGACATTTTGTTGTATATCCTTTTATACATTTTAATTTTAAACCATGTGATTGTACCCATTCAAAGGACTAACCCAAAGTAAAACAAATTATGATGTTTTCTAAGTTCCTTAATACCACTGAACATTTTAAACCGAAGGTCAGGAGGCTACACTTGTCCTTTCAGTTTAACTATCTCATGAAGGGAAATTAGCTCCTATTCAAGATTTATTCTATCACCCACCACATATATTTGACATCTCACTTAACCCATTCAACGATCCTAATGAGGTATATTTTGTCACCACCTTATAGAAGAGAAGCTGGGTCACAAAACCACACCCTGATTTGGACTTTGTGTGTGTGACCTGAAAGCCTGTTTCCCCACGCCCCGGAGCCTCCCTGAGACAGAGCCCTGCCGGGGGAAGCTCCTCTCTCTCCCCTCTCGAGACAGTGGCTCCATCAGTAGTTGGCAACCCTGGGAAAGTGTGGGGGATTACAACACGCTGATAAACGCAAGAATCTACAAATTCCAATAAAACAGGACACCGACTAAGGGATATGGATTCAAAATTTTTATAATAAATTGTGCCAGTAGAAGCTTTTCAAAGGCAATGATATATCAATAAATAATAGTTAAATTGAGTTCCTGAGAAAGAAACTACCACATGAAAGTACATCAGAACGCTGTAAATAACGACATGGCATTACTATAAAATAGCAACAATACTGACAGTCACGATACAAGCACAGCAGACTTTAGCATTTGCCACTCATACAAATGTAAACCAGTACACAGGAATCGGTTTTTTTTAGTTTAGACATTGATAAACTTATAAGTGTTGTTGCCTAGATATATACTAAATAATGGATACATTATGCTAAAAACTTCAAGGAAAAATATGTGGAATAATAAAATGAAAAATATGATGCATCAGATTTTTTAAAAAGCAAAAAAATTGACCTTTTTATTCAAATATAAATCACTTTAAATAGGAATCATACTCATTTGAAATAAGGAATATTTTGTGTGTTTATCTATGCAGTTATATATACGTCTACACCTCTAAGAAAATATGTATGGCTTCATTATTTATTCCAATGTCACTTTGAATAATCCTTGCTGTTTTATAAATATTAGAAAAATGTATTTTTAAAACCAAGTTAAGATTGATACTTCAAAGCACAACAGCAAAAAAATGTGAAGGAACCTCAAGATTACTAAATTTCACCGTGGTAGCCCTCAGCTGTGACACAACAGGGAATGACGCCATCAAGCCCTCCAGCGCGGGCCGTCTGTTGGCAGAAGGGTCTCGGCTACTGGATTCCACGTATCAGCTACGCCAAAAACGAAAAAGCACACTGACTACTGAAACGGACATAATTCCATGATTAGCTTAAAATTTTTGGAATAGCTAAATTACTCCCTTTTGATGTATACAAGTTTAGTATATGACAAATGTTTAAGTTCACCCCCAAAAGAATCCAATCATACCCAAGACACACACACAAGTCACTTCTCATTTACACATCTGCATTTCTTTAACAAAACAATAAGGGACACAATCACAGCAAGGAAGTCACCCACACGCTGCATTATCAGCACACTGTCTAGAACACCTCATTTAAAGATACTCCGTAAAAACATATTCACAGAACCTGCTGTGAATGGCAAGATATGGTAATTTTATAACAGAAAAACCCTGCTCATGCAGTACTTTCTACACACCAGACATCTGAAATCACACCCACATAATTACCTTATTCACACTTCCTATTAAACTATAATATGCAAAAAGCAAAAAAAAAAAAAAGCAGCTTTTAACATTATATCACAATTTTGAAATGTGGGAAAAAATATAAAACAAAAACCATTGTGTGAATAAAATGTATCACTAACATCAGAACAGTGTTATTTTTTTTACATTATTGCACAGAGACCTCTTATCACATGTTCTTCAGTTGTTATGTCTTTTCCTAAATATGAATAAGTGCTATGGATAAAATACAAATGTAGAAAATAACAGCAGCATGATTTCTCAAAGTTAATCCCTATAACTTAGTAAGAAAAATGGCTATAAACAAAATAAGTGCTCTTTCTAAACTGTACTAAATTTTTTAAAATATTGTTTTAACGCAGTGAAGGTCCTCAACAGCCAGTTGAAAGCAATGTTGCCACCCGCCCCACCTCCCTCTCCCCCCGTCAGCCAGAATCTAGAGAGGAAGATCTGCTAGACCGGAGTCCTTTTTAGAAAAGCTTTCTTGTTTGTTTTGGGAGTTTTCAATGAAGACCAGTATTTCGAGTGAAGTAATCAATGAACCACCTCAAGCAAAGCTGGCCTCAGCTGCCCACTGGCCTGTTAAGGCACCAGCTGCAGGCACCCCGGCTTCTGAAGAAGCAGAGCGGGGGGGATGCAGAGTCAGTGTCTACACGTACACTGGTTGGCAACCTTCAGTCTGATCCACCAGATCAGAATTTTCCAAATCGGAGTTCTCAGCCTGTGAAGCTTCTGCTCCTGAAGGCTTCGGGCACCTAAAAGGGTAACCGTTGTCATCAAAGAACCTTCGAAAAGTGAATTCATAAAATGCATGCTCAGGGTGCTTGTTACTTGGGGATGTGAGCGTGTCCCAGGCCTTCGTGCTGTCTTCACTGGCATTATTCCAAGGGCTGTCTTCATCAACGGGGTCAAAATTGGAGGTGTCCATGGGGTGGCTGATCTTGGGAACGTAGGGGGCTGGCTGCTTCCGGATGTCACCAGAGAAGTCAATGGTGCCAAAGAATGGATGAGCCTTCAGGTCGTCAGCCCCATTCCTCCCTAGCCGGTGGTCGGCAGCACAGCACAGTTTGGTGATGAGGTCCCGGGCCTCAGGGCTCAGCTTGACCTGGGTTGGAATGTGGAGCGTGTTCTCCCAGTTTATCACCTGAAGAGACAAGAGAACCAAAGTTTTAGTTTCTGCTCATATCTCAGGGCCAATCTAGGGCAGTTCTGAAACAGTATGTGAAGACATAACTTTTAAATAATTTTAGTGTCATGGAAGAAAAGCTAGAGTAGACACCGAAGCAGCAGTTGTGGATCTGAGCAGCTTTAAAGGTCAGTGCGGGGGCTGGCCTGGTGGCGCAGGGGTTAAGTTCGCACGTTCTGCTTCAGTGGCCCAGGGTTTGCCGGTTCGGATCCCGGGTGCAGACATGGCACCACTTGGCAAGCTGTACTGTGGCAGGTGTCCCACATATAAAGTAGAGGAAGATGGGCACGGATGTTAGCTCAGGGCCAGTCTTTCTCAGCAAAAAGAGGAGGACTGGCGGCAGATGTTAGCTCAGGGCTAATCTTCCTCAAAAAATAAAATAAAATAAAATAAAGGTCAGTGCAGTTTTAGTAGGGGGCTCACAGCCCAAGGCATGGGATGATGAAGCCAATACAGACCACAAGAGATTGGTTTTCTTCTATCAGAAATACTGTTTAGCAAAAGAATTTTGTGTTTTCCACAAAAATGAAGAGCCTGATTCTCTATGAGTCATTTCTTTAGCTATGGCAAAAAGATTTCTGTTGAATCATTATGGTTCTCATTCAATATTTATTGCGGCTGGGAGATGGTCAACTGGGGTTTTGTTAAAAAAGAAAAACCAACCAAACAACAAAAAAAAACACCACCTCACAAAGAACAATAATAAAGCTGACTGTCCTTGGCCTCATGTCTGTGATGCTCAACCACACAGAACAGCCCTTTTGGAGGTCAGTAAATACATTTGTCATAGAGATGCATCTACTGTGAAGAGAAAACCTACGGTATTTTATTGTTTATACTTAGAGTCAGGATAAAACAAGGCCAATAGAACGGGCTGTGGGCTGGGGTGAGCAGGCATTGGGCACGACACGGAGGGAGGTGGGTGTATGGATGGGAGGGTTGGTTCAAACCCAAGGAGTTGTTTTTGTAGAGCTAAAACTATGAAACTATAAAACTCACATAGGGGAAAATCTTCATGACATCGGATTTGGTAATGATTTCTTGGATATGATACCAAAAGCACAGACAACAAAAGAAAAAAACATATAAATTGGACTTCATCAAAATCTAAAACTTTTGTGCATCAAAGGACATTATTAACAGTACAACCTATGGAATGGGAGAATATGTCTGCAAAGCATATATCTGATTAGGGATTAATATCCAGAAAATATAAAGAACTCCTACAACTCAACAACAAAAAAAACAAACAACCTGATTTAAAAAGGGCAAATGACTTGAATAGACATTCTCCAAAGAAGACATACAAATGTCCAACAAACACATAAAAGATCATTAATCATTAGGGAAATAAAAATTTAAACCACAGTGAGATCCCAACCTCATACCCACGAGGATGGCTATTACAAAAAAAGAAAAATAACTGTTGGTGACCGTGTGGAGAAATTGGAACCCCTGTGCCCCGTTGGTGGGAATGTAAAATGGTGCAGCCACTGTGGCAAATAGTTTAGTGGTTCCTCACAAAGTTCAACATAGAATGATCATCTGATCCAGCAATTCCACTTCTGGGTATACATCCAAAAGAAGTGAAAGCAAGGACTCGGACAGACACGTGCATACATTCTCATGTTCATAGCAGCATTATTTACAATAGCCAAAAGGTGGAAACAACCCCAGTGTCCTTCACGGGATGATGGATAAACAAAACACACATACAATGGAATATTATTCAGCCTTAAAAACGAAGGAAATCCTGTCACATGCTACAACACGGATGAACCTTGAGGACACTATGCTAAGTGAAATAAGCCAGTCACAAAAGGACAAACATTGTATGATCCCACTTAAATGAGGTACCTAAAGTAGGCAACTTCATAGAGACAGAACATAGATGAGAGGCCACAGGGCTGAAAGGAAAGGAGGGGGAGTCGTGTAATGGGGACAGTTTCTGTTTGCGATGACAAAAATATCTGCAAATAGGTAATGCTGACAGTTGCACAACATTATAAATGTACTTAATGCCACTGAATTATGGTAATTAAAAATGGTAAATTTGATCACAATAAAAAAAATTGGGTTATTTTCATGCAGGCAAATTAGTGAACAGTCCAGCAACTCAATTAGGGTACAGGTAAAGACAAATTCCAACTTTACTGTTGCTGGAGTAAAACTAAGCCTTAATTCAGTGTTTTTCTAATTAAGGGATTATTAATTGACATTCTACCACTACTCAGAATAAGAGGTCAAACGTTGACCCCAGATTCATGGGTCCATCAGAGAATCACGTGTGTGTGCAGCAAGCAGACGCATGTTACCTCCTCAGTTACCTTTAGTTGGGTTTCTGTGGGAGTAGGGGCCAAGAAGGGCGGCTGCCCCACCAGCATCTCGAAGAGAATCACTCCAACGCTCCACCAGTCACAGAGCTGAGTGTACCCTGGAAGACAAAGCCTCGTCAGGCCCAGCACAGGCACGCGTTCCCCTCAGGGAGGTTTCTGAAATCCTGAAATACTGAGTTACTGTAAAGTGAGAAGGCATGCTCCAGCCACATGTGACGGAAGAGAAAACCTGCCCACACAGACTGTGTCTCCCTGGCCTGTGGCTCTGAGGCTGGAAGGATGCTGCCAGGTGGCAAGAGGCTTGGGGTGGGGTACAGTCACCTGCACTTTCTTATTTCCAATCATTAGTCTGTGATAAACACAGGATGCTTTTCTGATAAGGAAAGACTTTTTAATCTAAAAAGATTACTGTTACTGTTAGTAACAACAATAACCAGAATTTTAAGTTCTTACAGAACATACAGACACGAATTAACATAGTAGTAACTGGGAACAGGAAGTGCTAAGACGTGTGAACAGTCACACGCAACCAGTCAGGGGACCTCCTAGGGGCTTTCTTAGTCAGTTTGGGAGAACCCAGGAATGTGGAGAAAAGGAGGAAGAAAGGGGGCACTCTGGCAAAGGAAACACCTCTCCTAAGACATGCTCTTTCTGCGAGGCACGAGCGGGGCCAGGCCCTCCTCAGAGCTGCCAGGACGCAGCAGCCGAGGCAGGACGTCCCACGGCTTGGGCAGGGCCAGCCTCAAGGACGCTGGAGAGCAGGTTCATTTCTCTCTCATTTTCTCCCACCTCTCCTTCATAGCCCACAGCCCAGTCCAAGCCACGCTCCAGTCTCGATGCCACTTCATCCTTGCTAAGTGTGACGGCGCAAGACCTGCGGCCATATTTGCCAGTCTAGTTCCTTCAGAGGCCCTCTGTTCTCCCTCCCTCCCATCTCCTCCTGCCCCAGCCTGGCACTGGAGGCTTCAGAGTAGCTCCGACCACTTGTTCCTCTGGACAGCTACACACGTTGGGTGCTAGAGGGTGGAAGCCCTCCCCTACAGCCCAGCAACTCCCACCTCCCACTCTGAGAGGAGGGGAGAACGAGACCTTCACTGGGCAGCGAGGTGGCTCAACGACCTCTCAAGGTAGTCGTTCTGTCTGGGGCTCTGAGTGGTTAGGTAATCAGCCTTGGATTACCACGGCTAAGAGAGAAAACTCCGATGTGAACCGAGTCTGGATGGCTCCAAAAACTTGAAACAACACCTGTGAAAAGACAGGCCACCGATGTCTGGAGTTATTACACAGGATCAGATCAACAACCACGGTTGCTATGGGCCATGCAACTGATCACTGAAAGATTCCTTTTGTACTCAATCAGGTGTCATATTTGATAGAACGGAGGATCCATCCAGGAGACCAATTTTACTGAGTACTTGTAATTTTAGGCACACTAGTGTCCCCACATCTTACCTTTAAGACGCTTCTGGACTACCAGAGGAGAATTGGAGGAAAACAATTATTTGTATTCTGTCATACTTAATAATCAGTTGGAGATGGTACAACCCAGCTAGGAGCCTGGACAAGGAAGAGTTAAAGCTGGACTCTGGAGATGGATGTCTTAAACTGACTGAGTGGTGTCCCTGTGACCCTCAGAGCTGTTTCTATCATATGATTCTGTCAAAACCAGTTCTGGAGTGATTCTCTTGGGTTCAAAGGAGAAAGCCCACACCCTACACCCAATCTATCAGTTCCCAACCACAGGAAGGGGCAAGTGGAGACTGGCCTAATGGTGCGTCTCTTCTCTCACCCTGGAAGCAAGGGCAGTTCAGGAAAGAAATGAGATAAGCTGGAAGCTTGTTTGCTAAGGGAGTAATCTCACAGGCTTCCATGAGTACAAAAACACAATGGGAATTATCTAGAGTCTTAGAAAGCTGAAGCTGGAGAGACTCTTCAGAAGTCATCTGGCTCCACAGGTTGGAAGTCAAGATGGCCTCCAGGTGGGCAGCTGACTTGTGGAGCTCTCGAGGAAAGTGGCCCAAGGACACACCTTTTCGGAGGAGGACTTCTGGCGCGATGTAATTTGGCGTCCCAACCAGGGAGTGAGCCAGACATCTCTGATGCTGCTTCCTGGCTCTCTGCTCCAGGGTCTTCAGCCTGTCTCCACATCGACAATTAGACACATCGTCCCAGAGGTCACTGGGCTCCATGCTGTCCTGTCTGATGTGGCTCCCTTTCACCCAGGATTCAGGGGCGGTGAAAGAAGAGAATAAAAAACAAAGTAAATTTTCACTATTCAACGATGCAACAAATTCATAGCTTCAAAGGGAAAAGTAATTCAGTTCAGCTTCTGACACATGACAAGAAAGAATCTACCCCAACTGCAGCCGGCCTGTGGTTCTGAGATGCAAGTTGTGAGGTAAACGCACCAAGACAGAAACAACAGGAGAAGCAATTACAGGAGCTGGATGCTGTGCTGGCGGACAGCCTGACGCTGAGTAAGAAAGGCTCACGCAACTGCGGGGCCACCTGTCTTAGTGCTTCTCAGGCCAATCTCAAAAGGCCTACACCTGTCTGACACAACATATTTTAAGATTAGCATGGAAAAGCATAAGAGGATTTAAAAGACGTGAACAAAAATGACTTCAATGACAGAAAATAGGAATGAATTAAATAACTTAAGATTAGTTTTGAGTTAAAAGAATGAAGCCTGAGCTATGGTACTAAAATAACTATTTCAAGAATACAAGCCATACATAAGATAATGACCAGCAGAACTATGGGAGACGGAGTCAAACTATATCTATATCTATATCTACTTATACCCACACCCATAGACTCAGGTTAGCATTAAGACAGGACTTCTTGGCAAGTTGTGAGACTTTTTTTTTTTTTTGAGGAAGATTAGCCCCAAGGTAACATCTACTGCCAATCCTCCTCTTTTTGCTGAGGAAAAAAAAAAGGAAAAAAAAAGCTTTTTGCTTTTGGCCCTGAGCTAGTATCTGTGCCCATCTTCCTCTACTTTATATGTGGGATGCCTACCACAGCACGGCTTGCCAAGCAGTGCAATGTCCACACCCAGGATCCGAACCAGCGAACCCTGGGCCACCAAAGCGGAATGTGCAAACTTAAGTGCTGTGCCACTGGGGCGGCCCCTGAGACTTATTTTTTAAGGCTCTTTTTAATAGGGCAGAGTGATGGTTCCTCACAAAGGCCCCAAGACACCCCATAGCCTATTGTTCCCAAAATATTACAGTAGAACTTAAATCCACAAACTTAAAAAAAAATCTCACACATATCATACTATTCCTTTAGGGAAGATGTCACACCAAATTATAACATAATGGAGTGACAGATAATTTCCAAATGATTAGGAGACCCCAGGGTGGGAAACCGTTGTCTCAGATGGTGTAGTTCTGTCTAGATGCAGAAAGCGGACGTGGCATGCCTGGGACAATACCTTTCTGGTAGTATTTGGAATTGTGAGTCCACCTGAACCCAGTACAGAGGCCAAAATCTGTCAGTTTGATGTGGCCATCAAGATCTATCAAAATGTTGTCTGGCTTGATGTCTCGGTGGATAAAGCCCATCTTGTGGACACTCTCGATGGCCAGAGTCAACTCTGCAATGTAGAACCGGGCCAAGTGCTCAGGGAAGACCTCCATCCGGATCAGCAGGCTCATCATGTCCCCCCCAGGGATGTAGTCCATCACAAAGTACAGGCTGTCCTTGTCTTGGAAGGAGTAGTAGAGTTTGACCACCCACTCATTGTCTGCTTCAGCCAGGATGTCCCTCTCGGCCTTGACGTGGGCCACCTGGTTCCGGTTCAGGACATCCTTCTTCCTCAGGGTCTTCATGGCGTACAGGGCGTGAGTGTCCACTTTACAAGCAAGGCACACTTCTCCAAAGGCGCCGATGCCCAGGGTTTTGATTTTCACAAACATGGACTTGTCCATCTTGGCCCTCTTCAGCCTGTTGTAGTTGGACTCCTTCTGGTAGAGGATCTTCCTCATCTGCTCCTGCTCCGCCTCACAGAGCCCCGCCTGTGTGGAACGAGGAGACGGAAGAGCCACGTCAGAGGAGCCCCACGACAGGAAACAGAGAGGGGGAGAGATGCCCAGGAACTGAGAGGACCCTAACTCAATCTACAGAAAAAGAAAATAGAACGGGGCCAATATACTACAAGCAAGATGATAATCAGTTTTGTTCTTTATATCCCTATATGGACATAAATCTGGAAGCCAAAGGGAAAACAAAATAGGTGACTTTAGGCTCTAAAAACTAAAGGAAATCTCTATAAATAAAAATCTGTGGAAAAGGTAACCACAAAATTCCTGGAATTCTAGGAGCAATCTAATATTTTAATAGCTCAAGGAAAATGGGAAAACAGAAAAGAAAAAAGTCAATGAAAATGGGACAGCAGAATGACTTTCACAATTTGAAATTAATGGATTTATGTGATTTAAATTTACTGTAACATTTTAATTTAAATAATTTCATTAATTACCTTCTCTAGCAGTTCAGTGTCAACTAAGGTATATTTAAAATATTATTTGCTAATTATAGACTTAAAGGAGGGATAAATGGATTACTACTAGATATATTTTTCTTGATAAATCCCACAATTTCAATTTATAAAACCTCAGATTTTGTTTCTATTCTTTCAAAATGTTTTATTACTAGTTAGCAAAACTCAATGAATTTTGTTACTGAGTAAAGACACACCAAGAAAATTGACTTGGTAATTTATCTGTCGGCTCATCAAGCATGGCTGTCCCTGACCCGCCCTAGTCGGGTGCGAAAGGAAGGGAGGGCGCGACATTTGTAATTTCGCCAAGTTGTTCGCCCCATAACCAGACCATTGTCCTGTGAGACGAACGGTTTGTAAGAAAGGTGCATAAAACAGAAACCAAAAAGGGATTCTGCTGTGATTCCTGTGACTGGCGTAGGAAAGAGCCAGGGCCAAGGGGAAGAATGAAGTGAGAAATTACCTTCGCCATTTCTTGTTCCAGCTGCAACCTTCGGTTGACTTTCTGTTGGTAGGTTTTTATGACATTTTCCACGTGCTGCTCCATGAAGAACTTGAACGCATATGGCGAGTAGCTCTTGATGCGGGATTCTCTCTTTTCTTCATCTCTGCTGTTTTTCCGAACAGGAACAGGAGAAGTCTGGATCTGCTTTTTATCCTTCCCCATTTTCTCCCCTTTGGCATTTTTGTGGCTCTTGTCATTCCTGTCAGCGGGCTCCGCAGCCTGGCCCCCTCGGAGGCTCTGTTCCATCCCCACACACAGGCTGTCCAGGTCGTACTGCTCTGACTTACTCTGAAGCAACAAATGCTTCGGGTACGGCGGGGGCGGGCACCTCATCTCTGGGCTGCCGTACTCAACGTCCAGAGGGTAGGCAGCAGCGCCCCCCAAGGGCAGAGGGTGCTCGTCCTTGGAGTCCAGACTCTCCACCCCTGGTGGGGGCGCTGGCACCCAGGCTGGGTGGGAGGGCCCCACAGCCGTCTGGGGCTCAGGCCTCATCACCCTCACGCTCTTCACTGGATGCAGGATGTGGGCAGCCGTCACAGCCGTGATGGTGTTGGGGGAGGGCATGGAAGGCTCTGGTTTGCTGGGCACTCCGGCCCGGATGGGCACGGTCACTTGCTGCTGGTGGTTGTTGAAGGAGTTGGTTCTGCTGGGAACAGGGCCTTCGGGCAGGAATGCCACGTGCTGACGGGGGGGTGCCTCCAGGCCCGGCTTTTGAAGAGAGTCGCGGCGGGACAGGGTGGAGGACTGCCATTGCTGGACAGAAGGGCTGTTCATATCATAGAGGTCCACGTTGAGGCTGTTTCTAGAGGGAGTAAGCACACTCTGGGGGGGGCTGTCGCTTGTGAACACCTGGCCCCGAGAGCTCATCATGTGCACCTGGTGGGCCTGCTTATGGTGTGGATGTGGCACGTACAGACCTGTCGCTGCTCCTGCCTGCTGAAATGCATGGCTGGCCCCTGGCTGCACTGCCGGGCCCTTGCCAGCCAGGTTTGCAAACCCTCCTGCCTCCTGGGGTGTCTTGTTTTGGAAGGAGGGGCTGCGCTGGATGCCATAGCCCAGGGGCTCCCCCGGCACCAGCAGATGTGGCCTGTAGTGTGGGCCTTGCAGTGGGAGGGCCTGGACCCCGGGGCTGGTCCCCGGGAAATTCATGCCTGCGGCCTCCATGTTCGCAGCATAGCCTTTGGGCTGGTGCTGATGGCTGCCAGGCATGCTGTGAGGGCTCGCTCCGGCAAAGAGAAAGTCCATGTACTGACGAGGCACTTCGTCTAGTGCACTGCTGCCCTCGTAGGCTGCCCCGCTCAGCTGATGGTAGGGCGGGAAAGGGTCGCCTGTTCCTTCAAAGCTCGGCCTCCGTGGCACAGCAGTTGGTGCGATTCCCTTTCCTGCAAAGAAGGAGAAAAGGAAGAGGGCATGAGAGTGGATCTGCTCTGTTGGTCTGGCACCGCCAGGCTAATTCCTCACACCAACAATGTCCTTGGGGCTGACACTACTGCACAGGCTCTTCGATGACTAATGGTCCTCTGACACAGGCTGAGTTCTGCTGTGGGTGGATCCGGGTGACCTTCTGAGTCAAAAGGCTCTGCCCTGCCTGTCAGAGACCCCTCACGGGAATACCTGGCAAAGCCAAGACCCTCAACAGCCACTGCATTAAGCAGAAGGCACAGCCAAACAGTGGCTTGGTTTTCCTGGGCTAAGAATAAGCATCAGTGAATCCACATGGAAGGCAACGCAGAGGAAAATCACCACCGAGCGGGCCACGCCTCCGTTCGTGCTGTGCCGAGACAGCCCTGTGACTCTAAGAATCTTGATGAGGAGGCCAGCCTGGCACTGTTTAAGGAAATTCCTCTATCAAGAAGAAAAGAGAAATTTTGTGTCCTCTTAACAACAAAGATACAACCTACAAAGCTTGTGCAATTTTCTCACGCAACGGATGAAGTGGATTTCATCCGAGGTCTTCCACAAAATAGGGAGAACTCCTTTTACTAAATATCATAAATCCTTCATCACACCAGGACCTCAGACGCTAAAGAACTGCCCCATCGGCTCCATCCGGAGGAGAGGAACACTCACTGTCGAGGCTGGGACTCTGGCCCTTCCAAGGGGAAAGCAAGGTGGGCTCTCCCAGAACCCCTACCCAAGGCCTCCTCTGCTCTCAGAGGCTACAGGGTGACACAAGGGGCGTTTTAGAATTAATGAAATAAACCTCCCTTTTCCAAGACACACACAGGCCCCAGAGAAAGTAAAAAGAACAATTTTACTCTCATTCTGCTGGGCTACCTAATTTTTATATCCAGTGAATTTTTGAATCTTCCATCAAACAAAACAAAACCAGTACAGAAACTTGCCCAGGTAGGAAGCGAGCGGGTTATCTGAAATGGGGGAGTGAGGGAGGCACTCAGGTAAGCCCCAGGATCTCCACCTCCTGCCTCCTGCTCCAGGGCCTGAACATCGGAGCAGGGCAGACCCAGTTCACCCATTGTCAGAAAGAGGCAACGTGCCAAAAGGCAACCCGCTGAGCACGCTGCACTGGGCCTCCCTTCCTGCAAACGGTTTTGTGTGTTTAAATCACAGATCACCTTCACTCACCACGCTGCGGGGCTGAGCTCACCTGGGGAGGTCTGCTTAATGACTCGCACAATCTGCTCATTCCTCGGGTCCAGGTAGCCCATCTTACTGATGTACTCCAGGGCGGCTTCAATACTTCTGCTGCCAGTCTGCTTGAGGGCTCTGCCCGCCATCTCCTGGGGGGAAGCAAAGGACACTTTGATGGGAGGTGTAAGTGTATGTCATCTTAAAACAAACCACCAGGGGGCTGGCATGGTGGCGCAGCTGTTAAGTGCGCATGTTCCGCTTCGGCGGCCCAGGGTTCGCCAGTTCGGCTCCCAGGTGCGGACAGGGCACCACTTGGCAAGCCATGCTGTGGTGGGCGTCTCACATATAAAGTAGAGGAAGATGGGCACAGATGTTAGCTCAGGGCCAGTCTTTCCCAACAAAAAGAAGAGGATTGGCAGTGGTTAGCTCAGGGCTAATCTTCCTCAAAAAAAAAAAAAAAAAAGAAAAAAGAACCACCAGGGACTTCCATTACCCCCTCTGCACCTGACTGCTGTGATAGTCGCCTCTCTGACTGCTGGGGTCCTGCAACATGCTGCAGACAGGTCTCAGAATGAGCACAGTTAGCTGTATGTCCTCAGCTGCCTAATGACAAGAGTTTAACACACACTAAGCCACAGACTCTTTAGTATGTGTCACGAACACACAGGAATTCTGATGGTGGACCTGAAAGAATCTTAAGTCCTGCTCCTCCTTAGAAAACTTTTGTGACTGGACTGATAAATTCTGTTTTGTAGATAAACCTAAAGCTAGGAAAGTTTAACGTGAGGAATGGTTGAAATCAGAGAAACTGGCTTTAACTCCAGGCCAACTTAAAGCTGCAATTGGGCCAGGAGACTTGACCTCCAGTGGAGGGGAGGGATGCCAGTCATTTAAGCTCACTGCATGCCTACTGTTCACAGTGCCTGTGAGGCCTACAGCAGTATGGGACTTGTGCTTAGGGCCCTGGTCCAGTGGGAGAAAGAGAAGACAGGCGCTCCAGGAGCCCTTGGAGCAATGCCTGGCACAGGACAGGCCCCTTAACACTGTCTGTGGGATGACCACAAGACAGAAACTGGTGACCAGCATGGGGAGATGCAGGTAAAGTGGACGAGGATCAGAAAAGACAGGCCCCTTCTGCCAGGGGTGGGGGCCACGAGCGACTGTTCATGGGAGAGATGGCAGCACAGCTGGCTCTTCACAGACACACAGAATTCAGGCAGAGGGAAAGTGCAGTGGAGAAAAGGCATTCTTGGGAGGTGGAGCAGCCTTGTGGGGAGAGTAAGCTGGATGGTAGGCAGCATGCGGGAGCACGAGGAGACAGCGGAGAGGGACCCACAGACTGGAGTCTGGAGCCTGACTGTCCTGGGCTTTTGCCCCTGTTTGAAGGCAGTCGTGGAAGCTTTCCAGCAGGGACATGGGTCAGTGAGATCAATGTGGGGTGGAGAGATGATCAGCAGAGCTGGAGGCACTGTCAGGTGAGAAAATAGAGCAGGCAGGAGCGGACAGGGAGACAGGGCTGTGAGGGCTGCGGCCCAAGTGCCTTAGGGCCAGCTCTGCAGAGCTGTGGGCAAACAGAAAGGATACGGAGAGGGGAAGAAGACCACAGAGCCAGCCTCCTAGAGACAAGGACGGAACAGGCAGCAGCAGCAAAAGGGGATTCTACAGAAGGGAGCACTGAGCATTTTGAAGGTCGACGGGGGGGCAAGTAGGGAGGAGGAAATTGAAGATGCAGAAGAGAGAGGGTGATCATGGGAGATGAGAGGGGGTCTGAGGGCCAAAGGTATGGGAGAGCACTGAAAAGAAGACTTCTATAACTCAAACAGGAGAGAAGAAAAGGGCTGAGGAAGCAGGAAGACCCCAGGATGATGAGAAGGGTGCTCAGGGCTGTTCTGCAGCACCAAGACAGTGGCTGTGCCAGCAAAGAGCCACTCTGGAGAAACACAGCAGTTGTCCCCGATGCTGGGAATGAAACTATTCTCCCTGCCTTCCTAACTATGAACTTCTTAAGGCTAATTTGGAGCAGACCAGGCCCCACTGGGTTCCCGCTGTCCCCAGGACAGGGCATCATGCACCTGTGACCTTCAACAGACTCATTTTTGTGTCTATTTCCTCCTTTAGGACTGGGAGAATCTGCCGGCGCCTGAAACTACTCATCACCCATGGCTGTATCCACCCACCCAACACACTGACTAGAGCAACTTAAGTGCTTAACATTCATTGGATTATATAATATTAAAATCAGATTTTCCATTCTTGGCCACATTCCAGCTGAGTGGTACACGCTAGCCATACTTGGCTGTAACCTATGCCTACATACTTAGTGACACGAGTGTGAGACACCGCAAGATAATGAGGGGTGGTGGGAGAAGGGGCAAGGAAAGGACAGCCTGACATCCAAGGCCTGAGGTGCCCCTGGAGAGCAGGCCAGGAGGGCAGAAGGCTCGCCCCGAGTGTGTGTAGGAGGCTGCATCTGGAATGCAGGGACACGAAGGGACAGCTTCTGAGGCAGACTGGGAAACAGTAATGAGAACAGAGCTGTTTTTTCAAAGCAGCACTTGGATTGACAGCAAGGGCAATGTTTACAATCTGGGAGAGCTGCTGGGAGCAGGCAGAGGTTCAGAAGGGAAACTTCAACGCCTCACCTGCAGATGGGAGGTAACATCTCAGCCCCCTACTTCACAGCCGTGTTATGTGATGAGATCATGTCTGCAAAGAACTCCAACAGCTTGGAGAAAGCCATGGTATAAGACGCATCTTATCAAGATCACCCTGGAGCTTTTGGCACCCATTTAAAAAATGTGCCAATAGGAGTCGACCCGAAACCACAAGCCCTTCCATCAGCACTAACTGTTCAATCGCTTTGTCTGGAACGTGACACCAGCTGCTGTCTCTCTCTGGGTGAAGTGCCAGACGTGTCCAGGACTTCTGTACCTGCTAAACATCAGGGCAGTGCCAACTCCAGGGCCGACCATGTCAACAGGCGGACAGATTCGAATTCTCTGTTTACTGGGCACCTAGAACTTCCAGATTTCTATGCTTATTGTGCTCCAAATTTAGAACTTAACCAAAAAAATCAACATGAGGAGACTGCAAATAATGACTCGTGTTCACAGGGATAGTTCAGATCATAAAACCTAATCACACTCACGAGCCAACTTGTTTACCAAATAAACGTTCAAACAGTGCGCGCCAGTCAAGGCCTGCCCAGCTCGCTCAGCGCATGCGCCCTTCGTACTCTGGCTCAGACGACGCTGCTAGACGCACACGGAGCTGCGTCTGAAAAGCGGAAGCAAGTCCAGAGTCATGTCCCCGTGCCTCAGGAAGTCAGCCGCGACACGCGGCCTCCCGTCACTGGACTGTCGCGCCTGGGCGGCCACCAGGAGCACAAACTCCACACGCAGCACCTGGGGCCCGCAGGGCTGCGTGGGCGACACCCTCTGCGGCTCTAGGGGCTCCGGGCCTAAGACGCCAGGCAGCGCTCGGAGTGCCCTCGGAGGAGAGGCGCAGGGAGAGGGGAGCAGTGCCCTTGGCGCACCCCACAGGCGTCCAGGCTCTGGGCTCGGCCGGCTGAGGGGAGAGGGGGCGCCTCTACCCAGAAGGCCAGCTGCCGTTCCAGGCACAGGTCAGGGACGGTGGTGGGGCCGGGGGGTGCTTTACATCAGGTATTTCTAGGTCACCCAAGAATGCCCAAATTCTGCCCCAAAGCCTAGGCACTCTTCCTGGGCGGTATGTGCGCGCACGCTGGTATATTTACGTGCCAGGTGTTTTCAATCTCTAAGCATTTTGCACGGGTTTCTGCATGTCAGCCCTCCTTGCCCTCTTCTGCACAGACACCCACAGCCCCCCAGTGACTTCTAGACTGTCTCCTTCTCCCCGCTGCAACCCCGCTTGCACTCCTCTGTACCCTGTGCTCCTATTACCCCCTGTCCCAGGGAACTTAAAGTCTGCCTACTGGACCAGGAGCCCCGTGAGCCCAGGGCCAGGGCCTTACTAATTTTTGTTTCCCTGGTACATTCAGTAACAAATACCTTTTGAATCAAACTAAAAAGGTGTATAACATATCTGTAATACAGAAAAGCAAACAAAGGAGAAACTGAGGGAGTAAGGGGATGACCTAATGAGGCCAGCATTAAAGTGATGTGGCATGTCTGGGGCCCAGGCGGTGACAAAGCAAAAGCCCACAGCCACCCACACAAGGACCACCTCACTCACATCAAATGTGAAAACAACGCATCATCCTCCAGCTAGTCACTAGGACCTGACGGACTGTGTCAGTACCGCCCCACAGCTTTTCTTCAGTGAATACCTTCACTCAGCGCTCCATGGGAAGCCTCGCCCTCCAAGGCAGATCTCAGAGGAAGTGGGCTCAGCGAGTCCCGTGGCCAGTGGGCCACCTGTCCCTCCCTGCATTGCAGAACAGGGCTTTCACTGAGCTCAAGGAGAAACGAGTGAGGTTTCCTCACCCAGGAGCCACGGGCACTGGAGCCAGAGCCAAGAGGGGCTCACGGGGCCCAGACAAGTCAGGGCTGCCGCTAGGGCAGTGGGCATCCACAAAGGGACTCCTGAGACATCCAGACTGCAGCATCCGCCTCTGGACCTTGAGGGGTATGGAATCCCCACATCCGCCCACTTCCGTCTGTCTGACCGCCCTTCCCCTTTCCATTCCCTATTTGTTCCATCTCAACTCTCCATTTCACAAAATTGCTCATCAATTTCCAATGCACTAATTAAGAAACGAAAACTACTGATCAGTCTGTTATCAAATTCATAATGAAATTACTGGAAGAAAAAAAACAAGATGTAACTAACAACAGCTGCCAGTGTGTATCAGAGGACTGCTGGGACTAAACTCCACAGGAGGGCGGCTCGGCTACAGACGCACACCTGGGAGCCTCAGAGCCTCAGACATGGGAGAGACAGTGGTCACTAGAAATTCACAGCATGGAAGCTAGAATGGGTAAAAGTTGATGTGGTCAAAAGCTGATCATGAATCCACTCTTCACTATAAAATTTAAATGGAAAAGAATTGATTTTCATGAAAAAGTAAAAATGGAAACTACTGGAAATTACATAATTTCTAACTAAACCCAGGCTGGGAACTGACAAATAATGAGAGACCTTAAGCAAGTCATAGCACTGAAGGTTCATTCCCACGCTCTCCCCAGCTCCACCCACGAGGGCTCTGCTGCAGACCCACACAGGACAGCCATGCTTGTCAGCTGGCTCAGCTCTGAGGCACATTCTTTCCCTACTGTCTGACTATCAGGCGACAAGACCAAATGGACTCTTACCAGGCAAGGGACCCAAAGAAGGCCCTGGAAACACTGGAGGTCGCCACAGCCTCCCAAACAACCAGCAATGACGAGTGAAAGCTCACGGGCACCTGGCGCACCTGTCCTGGACAAGCTGGCAGGAGGGTGAGAGACTGAGGCACAAAGCAGTGCTCATTCCAAGCACAGCACCTGACCCAGGAAGGGCAGCGGGATGGCAGAGCTGTACACGTGCCTGGACGTGGAGGCCAAGCGCCTGGCTTCCCCCTCCGCTCAGCAGCATTCTCTTCCACCTCGAGGGCGTGCTCCTCACTGACAGGGGGCTCCACGGACTAGAGGGGAGATGGCGTGCTTCAAAACAGCACCACTGAAGGGTTAGCTCTTACAGTTCACGGAAGTATCTGAAGTGTCTCTGGTAAAGAATGTAAAGATTCTATCCATAGATTTTATACAGATTCAATATTTAATATTTCTAACTTTATATTTTATTCTTCTTACCATAATTATAAAAAGAAGTGTAATGAGTTCTTGAGACACCTCCAATCTCTCCGAGTTCACCTCAGGCTGCCACACAACTACTGTTACCTTCTGTGGGTGCTGAGACGCGAACAGGAGGCAGCCCTGCCCTAAAGGAAGGACGGAGCCAAAGTTTAAGGGGCAGGACAGTCAGGTATCTGTTCTAGTGTTTAACACTAGCAAGTGATGGACAGGTGTCTGTTCAACAAGGAAGTGACCGAATGACTGAATGAGACTCTGACCTGGGATCAAGAACAGGAGGAAGGAGCTACAAGCAGAGTGAGACAGAAGATGCTGTGGGTTCTGCTGGGTAGGTTGCCTCCCAGAGTGTGCTAAGATGAAGATAAAGTACAAATAAGGGATGTACCAAAACACAGCTGAAGGGAATTTAAAACAAACAGTCAAAACAACAAACAATCAAACTATTTCCCCAAGTAAGTACTCTTCTATCACCCAATTTGTACACCTGGGCCATTCTTCAGGTGAGCCTCTTCTACAGAAGTTTACAAAATCTTAAAGCTGTCCTACTCTGTGTCTAATGTATTAATTACCACTTACCCATTGTTAACAGTCTAACGCTGAGCAATAGAGGGTTAACAAGACTTTGATAACTTTATGTCACCTATCAACATGCACCAAGAGAATCTTATATAGCACTCTAGAAAGCTTCATTTATGATTGCTTAATGTCTCCTACAAAAGTTATGCTGATCCACTAGGACCATGGTCACCATGTCCACAAGCCAGCCTTCTCTTCTAGACAGTCACCTGTGCTGGAGTTGAAGCCATCATATGAGGAGTGCTAGATCTAGTACAAGAGACCTCCAGCATTCAAACTAGCTTCATTGGTGACTACTTTATGCCACCTATTGCAATGGTAATAAGACTCAACATGTGCAAACCCAAACTCCTAACTTCACTCCACCCACTTCTTCCAGTCTTCCCATCTCAGTAAACGATGACTCCATTCTATCAACCTTGGAAGCATCCTGACTTTGAGATTTCCTTCACATCCCACATCCAATCGAGAAGCATTTTTTGTCAGCTTACCTAGATTAGAGTGGTAAAAGATTCTGGATGCTTTGAAAGCAGGAACATTCACCTTAGGTAACTCTCCCAATAGATTTCTCCTCTTACATTTTATCAACAAATTGTTGATAACTTAAAACTGGTTCTAGCCACAATAAATTCTGGAAACTGTGGGATTTGCCCATATCTTCTCTGATATGAAAAGGACTGCAATGGGGTAGTTTAACAATATGGCCAATTGGGTGAGGTGTGGGCACGTAGCCGAACTGCCCTACCCCTGCCCTGACAGAATCTCGGGCTGGTCCGCACCCCAGCTACAGAGCTGAGGCCTGTCACAGCTGCGTCACCACCAAGCACCCCTTCACCCCGTCCAGCTCCAGCCCTCGGTGAGCCTCCTGCCCAGCAGCCTTGAGGAGCCACCAGCTCTCTGGCCATCACAGGTTCCTGAAAGCGCTGCCCCTCCAGCCTGCAGCTGGCATAGAGCAGGAAGCCCACCGACCAGCACAGGGAAGGACTGGCGACCAGCTTTGCTCTTCGGTGGCTCCTACAACATCCAGAAACTGCATCTGCCCCAGCTGAGGACTAGCCAGGTGTCGCCCCACCCACCTTCGCTCTCCTGACTGGGTCGCCCTCACTGGGGTGCACAGTCTCCATCGCCCCCAGGTCCTGGGGGAAGAGCTGTGGCAGACCTAGGCATGCTCCTGCCGTCAATGATTCACAGCTGACTATTTTATGGGCATCAACACAGGACCCACAGTAATTTAAATGCAGTGAAAAGTTATTATGCAGGAAGGAAGGAATTTCCTAGCAAGATCCTCTCCCTACCCCCTTCCTTATGGTAAAGAAGCATTTTTCAAATGTAAGTAAAGCCATTATCTCAACATTTTAACATTCCAACAATGAGTTTTGGCTGAAAACTGGAAATGTAGCACTTTGCCCTCATTAGGTCTACATGGGCCTCTTGTCTGTCTGCGTCTGCTGGTCTCTTCGTCTTTCTCATATACACTATCAATTTAGGTTCAAAGTTAAATTGGAGGAAAAGAGTCTCTGGCCATCGCTGGCTGAGGAGGCTAAGCTGGCCCTGCTGACCTGGGAGAGTCACAGCTTCAGTAGCTTCTGAGTGTCTCAGACAAGCCCCATCCCGAAATAAATGGGCACCTTCTCTGCCTGACAAGGGAAAAGAGGACAGCATGGCCAACTTTAAATTGGGCAGTATTCCTGTTCTTCACCTTGAAAAGAAATCTGATCCAAAAGACTAAATTCCTTGAAGAGAACAGAGAAGGAAAACAAAGAACCAAGGAGCACAGTAATCCTGAGGGGCGCTCACAGAGAGCTCCAGACCCGCGTGGAAAGGCGCCTGGGAGGAGAGTGAAGCTGGACGGCGCTCCTGGGGCAGCAGGAGGTACCACTCCAGAGCCCACAGGCTTTCATAGGGTTTGCTGCTGCGCTGCATTCCCTGAACAAAATGCTTCCCAGAGTTCTTTTAGGAACAGGGTGGAACACAGTGTTTCAGTGCATCCTGTCACAGTGGTCGAGCCTCACTCAGAAACACAGGCCTTGGGCAGAATGTACGTGAATCATAAGCCAGCCCAGCCGACCCAGCCACCCACCATTCTTTGCATTCTACGTGTTTCCCAAAGAGAATGAAAAGAGTTCTGCATGGGTTCTTAAACACTTCTTTTTGTGTGTGTGCTCTAATGATGGCTGGAAAAATAAGGTGAAGAAAAAAACGGAAGGAACTTTTGATTTTTAGATGTGTGTGCATGAAAAAGAAATGAATCACCACTTCACATTAGTGCAACTAATAGAAACTTCAACCCCTGGTGGTGGCCTCTTAAAGGCTTGCTGGATGAAGCCACAGCACCTATACCTTAAAGTATTTATATAGCAAGTGACAGTGGGTAGGGGAACAGGTTAGCACTTTTGAGGGCAAAAAAAATTTTTAAGTAACTTGTCAGTAGAGAATGAAAAAGAAATTTGGCATAAAATTAAACAAACATGAAAAATTTTCAACCTTGCTAATGACCAAAGCAACACTAATAAAACAGCATTTTATAACTACTGTTAGCACCAAGTATATATTTATAAAATAAGTAATTATAAGTCATATTTTTGATCATCATATTTTTGGTGGCAATATAAACTATAAAACTCCTTTGAGGTAAATATTTGTTAGGTATCAAATACTTTCTATGACCACAATTCGTTTACTCCATAAATATTTACTGAGCATCTACTACTGTTCTTGACACTGAATATGCAGCAGTGAACAAAACCTGCAACTGTCAGTAGTGTAAACCACATGAAAAAATGCGCATGTACAAAGTTTTATGGCTCTTAGTATCGTAACTACATACAAATTAATTATGTCTATGAACAAGGGCTTGATGAGAACATGAGAAAAAAACTGTCGTTTGTTTTATGTTGAAATATACAATGATTTCCTCTCTAAAGAGGGTAAGGCAATAAGAACACTTAGGCAGTAATGGTGGTTCTCTGATAGGTTTGGAAGACGGTGGCATAGGAGGATCCTGAGCTCACCTCCTCCCACAGATACAACAAACCTACAACTACCTGTGTAACAACATCCTCTGAGAGAGATCTGGAAGCTGCATAAAAAGACCCTCCACAGCAAGGGACAACACAGACAGGAGTGGAAGAGGCAGAGATGCAGCCCTGCTGAGGAAAAAGCCATGCCCCAGCCACAGTGCTTCCCAGTCAGGGGTGATCTCAACGATACGGAACTTTTCCCGGAGAAGCAGGGAATTTGAGCTCCACATAAGGCACCTCAGCCCTTAGATCGAACACAAGAGACAAGATCCCATAATACCTGGCTTTGAAAACCAACGGGGTGTAGCCCAGGGAAACTACAGAACTTCAGGGAAAGGAAACCCTGCTCTTAAACGGCCCACGCACAGACTCACTCGAAAAGGAAACCAGCACAAACACACCAGATAGAGAAAGGCATAGTCCATTAGTAAAAGAGATTCACCTACTAAACTTGGAGTGCATCACAGAGAGGCACGAGGTGGTTGGGCCTACCCCCAGGGACCGAGACCCTGGCGGCAGCCATTATTGTGACCTAGATCAGACGTGCTGACACAGATGGTGGAAGGCACCGTTTGAATCCTTCCTCTAGCCTGTTGGTGTGGGGCCTGCCCCATCCACCAGAGCACCCAAGGCAACTGAGCCCAGCCAGGGCAGGCAGCCCACCCTAGGGACTGGCCTCACCACCAGCAAGCCCGCAGCAGACTTGTACCATTTGGCCTCACAAACAGTCACACAGGGATCTGCCTTGCCTACCAACACCTGAACGGGTTGTGCACTGTGGTGCCTGAGGCCTACTCTACCCCTCAGTGCTCCTCAGGCAGCTGTATACTGCAGGACTGCGCATAGCCAGTTTTTGCCAGACGCCTACCCCCCAAAAGTGAGCTAGCTTCATCTGAAGCCTGCTCCACCCACTAACGCATCTGAGGCAACTGAGTGCTGCAGGGCTGTGCAGCCAGCCACACTGGGGGCCTGGCCTGCAGCAGTTCTGTGCCCCTGGACCCAGCAACCAGCCACACTGGGGGCCTGGCCTGCAGTAGTTCTGTGCCCCTGGGACTAATAACCAGTCACACTGGGGGCTGACTTGCTTACCAGCAAAACTGCAGTAGCTGTGTTCTAGTAGACTTCGTAGCCAGCTATGGTGGGGGCTTGCCCTGCCCAATAACGTGCCCATAGCAGCTGCATGCAGCTGGGCCTAATGACCAGCCAGCCTGAGGGCCAGCCCAGCTTACGTGCATACCCACAGCAATAGCAACCCCACCACAACAGAAGGACACACATAGCCCACATAGGGGACACCCTTGGAGCACTGGGCATGGGTGATGAGAAGGGAGCATGCTCCGGGGCCCCATAAGGCATCTCCTACATAAAAGCCACATTTCCAAAGTCA